TGAAATGATACTATTGTTATTCTCTTATAATTTAATCTAAGGGTTATCATACGGGTAAGAAAAATAAGAATGTATATGGTTATAAAGATTTGTTATTTCTTAAATCGTAATATATCGATAGAAAAGAAATGCATCATCGACGATACTAGTTTTTAATTAATCAAAACTCAACATTTTTTATCAAATAATTAAATTAAATTACAAGATGAATGTATAACATATTTTGGTGCATTAATTAAATAAAACATGATAATCCATAATAGAAATACATATTTTGAAAGATAATGGTTTCATTTAAACTAGGGGTAATTAGCGAATACTTTCTAAAAAATCTTTTGTTTAAAAAATCAACTATTTTATTTTTAAATTTTCTAAACATAAAATAATATTTTTAAATCTCACAAGCCTAAAACAAAATTTTTCTTACCAAAACGACCAATAGTTGACACTAGTGTTAATTATTGGGTGTTTTAGTAAGAAAAATATTATTTTGGGTTTGAGAGATTGAAAAATAAATTTATGGGTTTTTTAGATAGAAGAATTTTTTATAAGGTTTTTTTGGCAATTATCTCTTTTTTAAATAAATATAATCATATTTCTATATAATACTCGAAATCTCTCATATGTTTAATTGCATTTCGTTTGTCTTTGAAATTTTTTGAAATGTTCAATCTATTCTTTTGATCAAATTTTCTCACTATAAATAAATCTTTTGATCGATATATCCTTTATTAAAGTGTGAAAAAACACTTAAAATCACATGACTTGTATATTCTATTTTTGAAAATTTATTTATTTATTTTTTTGCATTTCAATCAAAAACATTTTAATTAAAAAAATTTATATGTTTGAAAAAATTGATAAAAAAAAACAGATTGAATATTTCAAATACTTTTATAAACAAATGAAATACAATTAGAAACTTATAAACATATAAAAATTTTAAGTATTATATAAATACATGTACATATATATATTAAAAAAGAGAGGATAAAGTAGAACGCAGCTATTATTTCTATTTAAACCAGCTGTTATTGATATTTCTATTTAAAGTTGCAACATCACTTGAAATCCCTTTGGCGATTTTTACCATTTCCATGACAATGTACAAACTGCCTTTTCCACGACTCATTCCTACTTGCGGCATGCATTATCTTGCGTCACTGTCATTCTAATTTACCATAATTTCTTAAATTCTAACATTATTCTTCTACATACTATGTAGGTTTTTTTTATGTAATATTGAAACCTTCCCATGTCATTCAAATACCTAAATTTCCGTTATGCCTATTTTTTCCATATACATTTTAATTTTTTATAACTCTTCTTTTATTTAGGGTTAATAGATCAAATTATCCATGTGTATTGGACGATTTCTCCAATCGTCTTAGGTCTTTAAAATCAAGCCTATAATGATTGAGCATGAAATTGGGTTTCGTCGTGAAATCCACCAGGGTGAACCTTTTTATAATTATGAGTTTTTTTTTTTTTTTTGACCTTATAAATTACCTGGCCCAATACACTAAAAGTATGCGCTATATTTTATGTTTCTCGCTACACAAAGGGGCTCTCTCATCCGTTAAATAGATCTTCAACAACACTTGCATAACTGTAAAGAGCTATTTCTTTCTCTCCTGTCTACGTAGTATACTAAAATACCAACTCAACTAGAAGAATAATTTTGCCAAACACTCTCAGACACCACTACCTTCAGTGCTTGTTTGTGGGATGTAAGAAGACAACACTATTGTTTTTCCAATCTTTTAAGGAGATTGAATACTAGGTACAATCAATCTAGATGCCTAAAATCTTATGCATGATTAATAGCGTCATCTATGAAGAACGACTTTCTTGAACCTTCAATTCGGCAACAATGGTGTTCTCCTCCATACAAAATACCATATGTTGTGTCCAATATATTCTTCATTAAAGTGTCAATCACTTAAATTAGATATTGTCTCTCTTCGTCTTAAGAATAAATGCAAAGATTATTATGAAATGATACATATATAGATTCATTATGACGGTCTTCTTTTACAATATAGTAAAATATTCTTAATTTGTCCTAAGTTATGTTTTATCTCTATCTTACTCACATATGTTTTGCGTAGTATTAATTTGTATTACATGACATATATGTATCCATCTATTCCACATCTTCTCTCAAAAGATATAAGTTATTAGTTATGTTAATATTTTATTACTATAATAGAAAAAGAGTGAAAAAGTAGACAAAAGCAAATAGAATCATCATATCATTATGTCTTTAATTTGTAATACACTTATGATATTGACACTCATTTGTTATATATTTTATTATTTTTATAAATATCGAGTAACTATGCAGTCCAAACATTGAGTTCTTTTCTTATAATCATGTGAAATCCTCTTTAATAGTACTATAATAGAAAAAGAGTGAAAAAGTAGACAAGCAAATAGGATCATCACATGATCATATCTTTAATTTGTAACACACTTGTGATGTTGACATCCATTTATTATATATTTTATTATTTTTATAAATATCGAATAACTATGTAGATATCGTTCTTTTCTTATTACCACGTGAAATTCTCTTTAATAGCACTAAAGAAGGACCTCTGGCCAATATTGCCTGCAAGCCAACTTTTCAATCAACCAACCCTTCCTACACAAACTAACAGCTAGCCTTTACAAACACAAACTCAAACTGAAACAATAACTCTATCAATTCTGGAATTCACAAGGACAAAAGACCTCGTCAGATTTGTGATCATCAAAATCACATAGCCGATAGATGGCATTGTCTTTACACTCCTTGCCAATATCAAACTACACAAACCAATATAGCATGGATCGAAAACATGTCCCATGGAAATCAACCTTCTTATCCTACTCTCATATATCTGCAACAATTTTTCCAACGAGAAGGTCAATTATTGCCTCGGTAACTTTCTCCAAATCCGAGTTGGTAATAGGCAAACTTTGCACATAACTTACTGTGACAGTGTTGTTTGTTATACAAAGAATACTATATATATATATATTTTTTTTATAAGTGTTTTTTTCGAGTTTTGTGGGATAAAAAAGATACAATAGAAATACAAGATTAATGTATATATTAGGAATTAACTAATTATTTTTTTGAGAACTTCATCGATATTGTAATTGAAATAATGAGGTAAGGTTACATATTAGTATTGGATTATGTTACAATGTTGGTGTTCTATATAGCTATGGATTATTTAAAAATTATATTATAATTATAAATGTATATAATAGCTTGATATTAGAAAGAAAAAAAATCATATTCACCCAATGGTAATGAACGGGAAATTTAATTAGCTGTAGCTAGTTTGTTAAAACTAATTACAGCTTGATGTTTTTCTGTGTTTTCAGAACAGTACAAATGAAAAAAACAAAAGTGTAAATGATGTGTTCTTGGGTTCAGTCTCATATATTGAAAATAGATATAAAAATTGACTAGATATCTCCGAGATTATGGATGCACAATGCAAGAAAAAGAGGGAGAAATATGGTAGTAGATTTCATAAAATGGTCAAGGGAGGCACCGCATTTTAATATTGTCGCTTCAAATAACAATGTCTTTTTTCTTTTAATAATAAAAATAAAATGTCAAATACACCTCGTGCTTGCATAGTATCCCAAAACCATCATTACAACTTCTCAATTCAGATATAATTCATAACAAATCTTACACTATTAAACTTTAGTGTAAAATAACCTATATGTTAATTTTTTTTGTCGGATTGACTAATTTTATTAGTTTACTAATATCCGACCAATTATATGATGACACGTGTTAACTTAAATATTAAAATATAATTTTATTTTAAAATAAGTTTTTTTTAATTTTTTAAAGTTAAAATAATAAAAAAATGAAAAACAAATTCTAAGGAAAAATTTTAAAATAATCAATTTTTTTTTGGTTTATAATGGATTTATAATATGTTTTAATTATTTTAACGTTAAAAAATTGAAAAAAATATATTTTTTCAAATTCTAATGGTTTTATAATGATTATTAATAAAGAATTTTTTTAAAAAAAACTCTAAAGAAATTTTTAATGATTTTATAATAATCAATAATAAATAAATTTAGAAAAACCTAAAGAAATTTTTTTTCCAAACAATTGAAAAAATTAATAATCAAAATTTTTATTAAAATAATTAATTATTATTAGAAAATTATTTTAAAAATATAAAGAAAATGTTTTCAAAAAAATTGAAAAAATTAATAATCAAATTTTTATTAAAATAATTAATAATCGTTATAAAATAGTTAAAAATTTCTTTATTAATAATTATTTTAAATATTAAAAATTGAAAAAATATTTATTCATAATTAATATGAAATAATTAAAAATTGGAAAAAAAATTCTTTTCATATTTTTTTAAATTTTTAATAATTATTATTATAAAATCATTAAAAAGTGAATTTTTTATTATTTGAAAAAAATTTAAAATTTTTTTTCTAAATTTTAATAATTTTATAATAATTAATAATTATTTTATTAAAAACAGATTTTGAAAAAAAAATTATGTTTTACTTTTAAGATGGCAGATATCGTCACTTAATTGATCAAACATTAGTCAATTGATAGAAAATGATCAATTTGACAAAAAAATTAACAAAAGGATTGTTTTGTATAAATAATTATTAATATAAGATTTGTTATAAATTATAACGGGATAGAAGAGTTTTACTGATATTTTCTATATAATATAAAGGTATGAGGTATCTCTTTAAAAAAAAAAAAAAATCTCCACTGGACTTTCTACTGGTTAGATTAAGAAATTGTAAAAGCCCAAAAGGAATTAACTTCCTAAGCAACGCAGAGCCCGTCACAACTGTCTCATGCTTCGTTAGCCTCTAGCGCGCCAACCATCGAACTCACCGCCTGACCGTTCACCGTTCCTCCCTCTCTCAGCAGAACCAAAACCCCAATAAAACCAGAACCGGAAAAAACGACAGTTACTAGATCATAATACGGCACAATAATGTCTCTCACCACCTACCACCAACACCTCTTCACTAACTCACCACCTCGCATCACCCTCCTCTTCACCACCACCACCACCACCAAAACCAGCAGCTGCCTCTCGCTCAGAAACCTCACTCTCTCTCGCCACGCCACCACATCCTTACATTCCAATAATTTCCACTTCAAACCCCAAGCTCCCAAAAATTCTTTCAATTCCACCCTCAAAGCATACCAATCAGACCCCACAACCCCAACCCAAGATTCCGATCAATTCAACGTCGATCAATTTCTCTCAATTGCTGAATTACTTTGCATCATTTCGTCGTCTATTGTCACTATTAGCTACGCATTGAACTGTACCTTTCCGAAAAGGGGAGTGTTGGGGGTTATAGGGAGTAATGCAGGGTTTGCGTGGGGAATGGTGGTGATGGTGAGTGGAGTGCTGATTGGTGCGTGGATAAGGACGCGGCAGTGGTGGCGAATTTGCAGGGAGACGGATAAGGAGTGGAGTAGAGAGAGTTTGAATTTGATGGGGAGGATTGAGAAATTGGAAGATGATTTGAGGAGTTCTGCGACCATTATTAGGGTTTTGTCTAGACAGCTTGAGAAGTTGGGCATTCGGTTTCGGGTTACGAGGAAGGCATTGAAAGAACCCATCGCTGAGGTACCCATTTTCATTTTCATTTTTTAATGCTGGTGATTAGTAATTTGAGTTTGTTATCTTCGTTGCAGTCGAAAGGGTTTAGGGAGAAGGATAATTTGATTAGTTGATATAATTCTAGAAGAAAAAAACTTCATGAAATTGTTTACAGTAGATTCTTGAAAGATAGATGGATTTGAGGATTAGATTGAATGTTAGCAAATTTTATGGAAAGCAATTGTTAGTAGCAGTAATCAAGTTTTGTTATTTGAAATTCTATGCATGAAATGTGGAAGATTTTGAGAAAATGAACAATTGGAATATTGAAAGTTGGAATTTGGAAGCGAGAGAATAGGTGCCTGAGAAAAAATGAGTTTATGTTTGGTATCATCTTTGATTATAGAAAAAACCTTTGAAATTGATATATGTATTGCATCTCTGAGGATTTTAAGCCTTCATAAATTGGTAAATGTTTTATCATTGGCATCATTCTTGCGGTTTGATTAACAATTTTATATGAAAGTAAATTGTTTTATATGCCAGTTTCCTTGTAAGTTGAATCCAATGATAAACATTTTACTTTTGGAGGAGTGTTATGATCTCGAGTTTTCTTAGCAGAGTTTTTTCAATTTGATACTGAACGGACACCGCAGTTATATGCTTTTATTGTCGTTTACCACTGATTTTGGCATCTGAGTATTGAACTTTTAACGTCCATGTAAATGAATGTTGTGCTAGCAAAATCACCAATCATTGCTTATGTTGCTCTCTGCTTCCACTTATTTTTCAATGCTCCCTTTTTGTTTGTCTGTGTTGAAACTGAAATTAAGGAGAAAAATAGTCTAGTGCGTTGGTAGTGAAACAGATGGAGACTTTTTGATGAAACTAGGAGAAGCAGTAAATAATTAGACAATATAACTTGCTTTAGGTTTATATAAGGACCCTGGTTTAAAATGCTCAGATAGGAGTTCTGGGTTTGATGCTTTGATAACAAGCTTCAAGTAATTTTGATAAAGGTGCTACTTATACTTCAAGATCAGAATTGTAGGGTTATTTGGATTTTAACCATAACAGCCAAAGCTGTAGCAAGATAGATTCATTTCATGCACTTTCAGTAGCAAAGGAATCACAGTGATGGGTATTTGCAGATGGGAGAAAGTTATAGCCTCCATTTTCTGGTTGTCAGTTTTCATGTGCATATTTAGAATGAGTTGGGAATGTTTTTCCTGATGATTGTTTGAATTGGCTGATTACTTTTGCTGCTTAAATTCTATCCTTTGAAAAGCTTTGCAAATGTCTTCTTGATTCCAGTGCGTAGGACTCTGGTACATGTGCTGACATCCTAAGACCGGATGATGACCATAGTTTAGAGTGGCTAAATGGTCTCCCAGTGGGTAGCATCCTTTATAGTTCTTTTGTTATTCTTTCAAAGCCCCAACATGCTGAACTTAACTGTTTTGCCCTTGATAAAAATATTGCCTTTTGCTATTCTTTGGTTCCTAAGAATCTCACACCTATGTTTGATTTGGCATTTGGTTCTGTGTAAACATGGTATATGGCTTGAACAAGAAGGTATTGTTTCATAGTTGTGCAGTAGGTCTATTGTCTCTGACCTCAAATAGATTGCATAAATAATGAATATCTGCTGATACTTGGAGAAGTTACTGCAGTATTTTTATAAGTAGCTCGAATTAATTACTCAGTTATTAACTTCTTTTGATTTGTGACTGAAGACTGCAGCTTTGGCTCAAAAGAATTCTGAGGCCACTCGAGCATTAGCAGTGCAAGAAGATATTCTGGAAAAGGAGCTTGGTGAAATTCAGAAGGTTCTTTTGGCAATGCAGGCAAGTTCAGCTAAATAGATTGATTATGACAATGGGTTCATATATAATGAGTAATGCTAGCGTTCACAAACCATTTGTTAAGAATAGGTACACAAATAGACATTAAAGAAAGGTCTTAAAGTTATATCTAATTACAATTGTGCCATTTTTTCTTTTCATGATCTTGTCACATTGAAACTTTCAGCAAAAAATGCATTTCCCTGTAATTATGAGTTGTGTAATCAAGTCACTGGTGATATGATTTGCAAAGGTGGTTCTGTGGTGTTCTATGAGATCTGTCTAAAACCAGTGCCAATGTAGTGTAACTGGAGCATGCTTGAAGAAATAGGCTGTGCAGAGTCACTAAAATGTAAATAAAAAGATATATGAATGCATACTAAATTACTGGTTCAAGTTTAGTAAAGAAGTAGCTGATGTATTCATTCTCTCTCTCTCTCTCTCTCTCTCTCTATCTCTCTTTTTTTCTTTATTGTAACTTCTTATGCTACTTGTTGGACCATATCCATTAGGATTGATAAAAAAAAAAAAAATGCCATATTGGTTCTCTGCTGTGAGAACATGTTACAAGTGATCAGTTCTACTGCTTCTGGTGAGTGGAGTGATATGGTCCTTAAAGGTTGTAAGATTGACTTCAATTTGTTATCATCATTGCAGGAGCAGCAACAAAAACAACTGGAGCTAATTCTTGCAATTGGAAAGAGTGGGAAGTTATGGGATAACAGGCGGGAACCTGTCCTGGAACAAGAAATGATTAAAACAGCTGATGTAAACCAGTTGGAAACCCATGAAACTCAATCTCCAGTTACAAGCAAGGGAAGAAATAATGACAGACCATAACAATCAGCAGTAAATACTCACCGGATTTTTCCCTTTTTTCATCGTGCAAGGTCAATTCACGTGGCCTTTTTTGGGTGCTAGGCAGCTGTGCACTTCTGGTCGCCACTTTAGCTTCACGGTAGGCCATCTAAGCAAAGTTCCCCAGTTTCTTGATCTGAATCTGCTAGTGCTGCAGTGTAAAGAAAAATGAACAAAGGACTAATAGTCTTTGTACAATTGAGACGCAAGTTATTCTTTGTGCTCATATCTGTGTAATTCGAGGTTGTGTTTCCCGTTCGAGTTTTGTTTCGTGGTAATAACTTCCTGCAATGGGAGCTGGAACTTTTTCACTCTTCTTCCCACTGCTCGCGTAATTTAAATGCAATGTTGGATAATCAAATTCAAAATGAGAAAAAAGCTCTATGTATATATATATATATAATGTAGTGAATCTACATTCTGCCAATCAGCTTCGAGTTTGTTGTGATCTTTGAAGTGCTGGTTTGGGGGAGAAGTGAATTTTTTCCCAATAGCACTCAGGATTCGGATTCCATGGAATGAAAGTAAAGTTCACGAATTCGAAGAGATTACGAGAAATTGTCTATTTAATATCCAACTACTGAGAAGGGATCTTAATTCTTCTCCGAATATAAAAACAAATAACGTAGAGCTTTGAGTGTAGTGGAAGACCGGTGGGCCGTGTGCTGGCTCTTGAAAGTTTTGAAACAGTGTCGTTTCATCAGCGATATATAAACGGTGTCGTGCGTTCATATATTAATCCAGCAAGCTGAATTTCCACTTGAAATTTTCCCACTTACCTCTTTACCCCAAATTGCAAAACCTTGAGAGAGAGAGAGAGAGAGAGAGAGAGAGACACACACACACACACACACAGAGGCATGGAAGAGCTGAAGAAACTAGAAGAAGTACAGAGAATGATAACATTGATGGAATCACATGCCTTCATTCCTTCTTCTTCTTCTTCTTCTAATAACCACCACTCTAACCGCTTCCTCGCCAATCTCCTCCTCCTCTTGATACAACCATGTGGCGATCTCGATATCAAGGACAAACTCAGCCTGATTAACGAACGCATTCCTAAAGTGATTACTCCTTTTTAGCATCATCATTATTATTCAATTTCAATTGCCACAACAACGAACGTTTTGTTAAGTTACTGTTTTTTATTGTTTTTGCTAGATTTCGGATTCTTTTCTCGAAGAAGCGTCGCTCTTGTTTAATCGGAAAGAAAAAGAACCGGTGCTGCAAATTGAAAACAAGCTTATTACGACTAGTAATGGTGATTTTGAAGATATGGCATTGGTTAGCTTGGATGCGATGCAACGCGCAAATTCTACACTTGAGGATTTTGTAAGCAGAGCTATATTTTCATTATTTTTATTATTAGTTAAGAATTGTGTATTGACTGGCCGTTTATATATATGTATATATATATATTTGAAATTGACAGTGCAGATCTTATTTTATGTTTCATGAAATGGACATAAATAAGCCCCAATCGATATTCCGATATTTACCTGTGCTTTCATTTACTGAAAGTTACATCTATCAGGTTAGAATTTTAGAAAGCAGCTGTGAATTTTGAATATGGTACAGTCGAGGCTTTTTTTATTCTCTTGTTTTCCTTAATAATTATTGGGTTTTTTAATGTAGATGGATAGTTTGAACGAAAAGATAGTCAACATGCAAATTAGTAGTGTTGGAGTTATAGAAAGAGAATCTCATATGGTAACAGCTGTGAAGTTTTGAAGAGTTCACTATTAAAACCTTGTGAATTTTTTATTATTGATTTTCATTTGCTTCAATGTGATGTGCAGGAAGTGAGTGAAAACTGGATTGGAAAGTTTATTTATGTGTTAAAAAACAATCCGTTTAAGCCACTTGTTGGTCAACTTCAACGTCATGGCCTTTTGACACAGAGGTGTTGTTTCCTTTTTTCTTTTATTAGCCTTGTTTTCTGCATTGGGGCAATGAGGTGAACCTTGAATCTGAATATGAGCTTCTTTTTCTTTATTTTTTTATTTGGTTAAGGATCATAGAAGAATTCATGTTTGGAGAAGAGTATTGGGCTTTGGAAAGAAAGCTTTGTTCTGCACTCATGAATCAAACTGAGGTACATACACACAATCATCTGATTCATTTTTACTCAAATTATTCTATCCATACTGGCTTGCTTTCATCTATGGTTGTAAAAATATGGCCATGGTAGCACTGTAAGTAGTTAGAGAAACATGAATTAATGGTCTGACCTCAGCTGGACCACCTTGAAAACGATGTTATGGGATGGATATATGAGCATTTAGATGTTTATGTACTGAGAGCGAACTTTTTCTGTTTCAAACAACAAATAATGTTTTAGTACATCCTAGATACTGAAGAAATCATGCTGATCAGTGCAAACATCTGTAATAGTAACATTTGGTGAATATAACTCCAGAGCCAGTTGTATATTTGTAAATAGGATCCATGTTAAATTTGAATGTGACTGGTCTAATTGTTTATATTAGATATTGCATATGCCTAGATCCAATAGCCCACAATCAAGGTCTTTCGTGCACATTCTTGCATTTCATGCTTTCTGAACTAAATAGGAATAGAGTGGTACAAGTTAAAAGGGTCACCGGTCCACTAGAAATAGCTTATTAAGATTCTTCCAGAAATTTTTAGGGGTTTAATTTATCAGCAGTGAAGCATAGGCTGTCTAGGTTTGTCTGTTTATGTTTCATCATAACCATGCTTCTCAGATTTTAGTTGAAGATGTAACGAGGGCAATTCATTTGAAATCCTTTGACTATCGAGTTCTGAATCTTCTCCTGTACCAGTTAAGAGGGGAAAAGGTACGTATTTGTTGGTGACTTTACTCATTTTTATTTTTATTTTTTATAAGCAAATTATTCCTTTTTCTTCTTTCTAAGATACAGCTTAAAACAATTTAATCACTTTTCCTCAGGTATTGTCAAGTTTGCGAAACAAATTTCTGTCACAATTTTTCATTTAGAGAAAGTTCTGCCAAACACTGATTAATTTAGCCAGTCCTTTCTTTTCCACCTCTCAATCATCTGGCTAGTTACTGGGTAATCTGTAGCCTGTTGTTTGGTTAATTGTATGTAATTAGGCTAAATGTATTTCTTGAAGTTTTTCTGAAGGTGAATGATGTGCATATGGAATTCCTATCCATCTCAGAATTTCTAGTGGAAGTATCTGATGATCTGTAAGTGCTTAGTTTCTTTGTTTTTAATCAATTTATTCGTAGTTTGAATTTAAATTTTAAGTGGTGGTTGGTTTTTTTTTTTTAATGGCTATAAAGTATGTCAACTCTATCCCTGTTTGAAAAATGAAAATTTTAGCCAAATAATTAGATACAAAATTGCAAGGCGTAGAATACACACAAAATCATATTTTATGCTATAGAAATGCCTCTGCTTAACTTTTGGATGCATGTGCATGGCTAAGTGTAAATGTGTATTTGTGATCCCTCTCTTGAGCTCACACGAGTGGTACAAAATGATCATTGTTACCTTGCTTTTGTGCTACGTATCATTTGTTATGTTGTTACTGAGACAACTAATGATTTTGTTGGTTATTGCTATAATTTATGTGCCAAGCATGATCAGTTACCCTAAATGATGAGTTCACATGGCAATGCTATAGGTTTGACTATGAGGTAAATACATCCCTCTTGATAGGAATTTTTATTGCCATGTATCTGGTCCATTTGATTTTCCCCAGGTCTAATTTCAAAAGCACGCGTTTCTTTTATGTAGGATGATGTGCTAGAGAATCATTTCAATATTTTGCGCATGTTTGTCAGAATATACGGACCTGCTACAGCCCCAGCCATGCTGGTGAGCAGTTTATTTGTTAAATTTAATAGATAATTATTCACTGCATAAATTTGCTCTTTGATTGAGAAGCTTGTACTCTTTTGGAGTGTGCGTGTGAACTTTTTCTGTAGTGGGAAGGGATAGGAGGAGAGTGAATGTTGTCTGTATGAGTCTCAAGCGAGGTAATTGGATAGGCTTTAAAATGTGGTTGGTTGTCCTTATTTCTTCGTTGACATGATTTTCTTGGAGTGTTCTTATCAGCATACAAACTTGATAGGATTGTGCTAGTTGCTACAAATTCTGGGCAATAATGGTGATATTAGATGACTGGACCGATCAAACAATGGTTTCCGTTACTTTAATTTTTGGAAAGCCCTCAATGTCAGTTCATTAATCTATTGGGTTTGACTAATGACTCTTATCTGTAAGTGGACTCTATTACCTGGTGATCTTTAAAGAAGTAATGTTTTCTATTGATCCTTTCCAGGCAAAATACATTGCTGAAGCTGAAGAGAAGTATGACGATTTACTGAAAACTTTGGACCCTCAACTGTCCTCAAATTACCAGACGAGATGTGAAGAAGCTACTAAAGAAGGTATTTTGTGTGCATTCAAGTTAAAACTCGTATGAAGTTATGACTGTATTTTCCCCTGGTGTGATTTATTGTTCATTAAAAAATTAGGTGGGAAGATGTCTGGGCATCCTCTTGGAACATGGAACATACCGCCTGTGATTGTAGATGAAGAATTATATCGATCAAACTGGGTAAATTCAGAATCAGTGGTACCTCCTGGTTGACTTTTGTCCGAAGATGTTTTAATTTGATGTGTTTTCATTTCAATTTAGTGATTGGAGTATGTATGACCTCTTTTAGAAAATGCAATTTCTCGAAGTCCTAACTAATTTGTTAGGCATCTGGTCCACCAGTTGTCGTAACTAAGTGTGTGCACAGAACTTCTAATTCTTTTGAAAGACAGAACTTCATACTTGTTGCATATTTTGTTTCTGATTGTCTTTCTAATAAATTGGCTATTTTGCTCATCAACTTTTAGAGCATGTTGGAAATAATGTTATTTCTTTTCTTTTCTTCTTTCGCTCTCGTGAATTTCAAAACCAGAAAAGGCTGAGCATGTGTGATTTGATTCAAACCTTCAGATAGCCGATAATTGGCTTAGTAGCAAAAATTATTCTCATTCTATTACAATTTGGTAATATCAAACTTTTATTATCAATTTACGAATTTGAATCATAAAATATTGACTTTTTTCCAAATGTTATTCAAATCTTTTTTCTTTGTTATTTATAATGTCAATCCAATTGATTGTTAAGCAGAATATTTTACTATTAATTTTTTTTGCTGTTAATTTTATATTTAAAAAAATATTAAAAATTGGATAGATAAAGATAGATTTTAGATTCTTTAGATCACTTGATTTTTTATTTTTATGTTTTGCTAATGTTTTTTTTCTATTTTTCTAGAGGAATTTTTTTTCACTTTTTTATCTATAAAAAAATAAGAAAAATTCATTAAATTTATCACTTTTTTTTTGTTCTCTCTAAAAAAGGGCTTTTACTTTTTGAACCTATATTTGAAAAAAACTAAAATTTTAAAATTTTAAAAAATAGTTTTTTAATTCTAACAATTATAGATTTGCATATTATATATTTAAATTAATTGCAAGAATACAAAATTTTATAAAACATGTGAAGATAAAAAAATATTAAATAAATACAGGCTTTTACTTTTTGAACCTATATTTGAAAAAAAACTAAAATTAGAAAAGTTTTAAAAAATGATTTTTTAATTCTAACAATTTTAAATGCATATTATATATTTAAATAAATTACGAGAATACAAAATTTTATAAAAACATGTGAAGATAAAAAAATATAAAATAAATATAGTTATATTTAAAATTTAATGATTGACAATTATAAGAATAAATTTATTAACATGATAAAAGAAAATTTTTATTTAAAATTAATCATTTGATAATTTCAATTGATCAAATTTAATTAATAGATATTTATATTTTATTAATTATAAAAATTGATTGTTTTAATGGATAATGGTAAGAGATTAATATGTGAAAATTTTAAATAGAAATAATTAAGTTATAATTATATTAAAAAAATAAGAATAAGTTTTTTTTTAAAAAAAAAATTAACATTGGATTTTAAGCATTCTCCTTGAAAGTTAACCTTTACAAATAAAAGAGAGAGAAAAATTGGATAACATTTCAAAATAATAATAATAATTTAAGATTTAAATTATATAAATTAATAATGAAAATATGAAATTATCAAATTGCTGTCCGTAATTTTTGCAGTAAAACCACCAAGAATTCAAAGGTGCTTGTCGGCATGCGTGAAGGTGCCCATGGGCTATATGGCTATGGAGCTATAGCTAGACAGCAGATGAGGTAATAACAAGGGCCTGGCTAGTAGCTGGACTATGCTCAGTCCTAGCTTTCCAGACAACACAGGTATCCTCTTTGTCTTTTTTGAGAGACAAACTGTCTCTTTATTATCATTTAACTATGACAACTGCTAATGAAGTAAGCTAAACATTTAACTACCATCTCATGTTTTAAATTCAAGGGGAGGTTGAGAGTGATTTCCTATGAATGAATGCATCTCTTCAAAATGGTTGAAAAGTAGATGCTCAATCTAAGACATGACAGAGGGACCTGGTTTAAATGTGCAGTCTAGGATATTGCTGACTGCTAAACAAACAAAACAAGAAAGAGAAAAAAAGAGATTTAAAAACTTGAAAAACGATCGACTAGGTATGGTATTTCAACGATTATTGTTGTAAATGGCAACCTCGGAGCTCGTTTTTCTTAATTTTGTTTTAAAAAATAGATTTTTTCAAAAAACAAAACTTAGGAATATTGATGAGTGTCAAATGCATCAAATTTAATTTAATTTTTTTATGGATGTTTATAGCAATAGTAAGTCCAGGTCAAACCCAAGATATTAAATAATTAATTCAGTTTATATAAATAAAAAGAGGTTTTGTTGTTTGCAAAATCGAATTATAAAAAAAAAGAAGCAAAAATAGAATAAGAAAGATTTCAATTTAGTAAAAACTTCAGTTCAAGAGAAAATTCAAGTATTCAATTTGCGGATTGATTATCGACACCTAAATTATTATTTTTTATATTAAATACTTAGCCTAGATTTACCTAGCTAGATATTAGAATAGATCCGAATTTTCACTAAATTCATTAACTCAAAACTTTGCATCCGAATTAATACTTATTATTGATTGATTTCGGTATTGACAATCAACAATAGCATTAAGAATTAGAAAGATAACTAAGATCGAACAATAATTTTAGGACACCTAAATTATTTAATTCATCATTCTATATCCCTTAGGTAATCAAACCTAATTTACTATTTGTACTAATTTTTTCTAACAATTATGGATTAAGAGAGTTAGTTAGCTAGCAATCAATCATAATAGACAATCACCTAATTAGTCATCTTAGACAATCACCTATGCAATCATGAATACTTTAATTCAAAGATCAATTAATTATACCTAGAAAACAAAAGTTATTCAAATCATAAAGAATAGATTAAAGATCAAACTCATGTCTCATAATCTTTTGCAAATTAAAGTTGAAATCCCTTAAACCGAATTAATGAAATTAGCTAGACATTGCTTGATGCATAAAACTTGAAATAATAAAGAAAACATGTAAAGTAAAATGTGTCCCTAATGTGCAGTCCTAGAGACTATTTATACATATAAGGAGATAAATATAATAGCCAACAAAGTCCTACTTTAGCTAGTTTTCGAATTTGACTATGACTTTTTTCCCGAATAGGACTCTAGGTTATATACTTGAAACTTTTGAATTAATTTATTATCACAAGACGTAAAAATATGGACTTGAGATCTTCATAAAGATTGTAGGCTTGGATGTCTTCTTTATGTAGATTTTTAAATCATCATAATCCAATATGTATAACTCCGGATATGATTTAAAAACTAAGAAGTGTTCTAGATCGTCATAGGATCCGAATTTCTTTTAGATTCTTTCCTAACTTTGCAACCAACTCGATAGCTTAAAACTGAATGGATTTATACGTTCAAACCTAATCTAAAAAGATTAAGATGTCCATTTTAATTCTAAAGAAGGCCTTTTTTATGTTCTAAAACTCTAAGGATGCGAAATTCTAATTTGTTCTTTTAAAGTCAATCGCGCGAATAAGAAATTCCGCCCAAATTAACATATTTTTACTAATTTGACTTTAATCATATACTAAATCACAAAGAAAACTTAATTCAGCTCATAAAACTTAAAATCACATCCAAAAGATTAAATATAAGAGAATAAATATTATCAATAATGCTCATTATCAAATTCCCTCACACTTAGCTTTTGCACATTCTCGAGCAAAACGCTAAACTAATACTCAATACTAACTCTTTAATTACATTAAGATTGTAATTTTACAAGCAAGGAAACAATTAAAATTCTCAAGAACTATAACACATCATGTATCAACATTTTTTACAACTCGGGAATTAATTAATACAATAATTTTCATTTAAAATAGAATAAACTAAATTAGTAAACCCTCACAGCATTAAACTCTCTAACTCAAGTGTTTAGGGTAAGTGTTTCTCTCTTAATGTTCATTCCGTGAAAAATGTACAACCATAAACTTGTTTATTATCTAATCTCTATTACTTAGATCACATGCATAATAAAAATCAAAAGAGCTTTTCATATGGTTGTAATTGGACTTAGGTAAAAGATAAGGAATTTATATGGATATGAAAGTGTAAAACTAAAAAATTAATAGAGCATTTGAACATAAACTCGAGTAGATAGAACTATTAGGACCCAAAACCTATCATCCCAAAATTTCGAACACCTATCAACTTATCATGTATGTATTACTAATTATATTCATGTCACATAATTGAAAAATCTGTTTTAAAAAAAAAAACAAGTTTTATAAAAAATTAATGTCAAGTGATTTTTTTTAGTAATTATTATTTTATAGATTTATATATATTTATCTTAACTATTTTAATAATTAAAAATTGAAAGATAATTCAATTTATGTCCTTAATTTAAAAATTAATTTAATTATAATCATCAAAATTTATATAAAAGTGTTTGCTACTCAAAACTTTTTATTTAATATACATTCAAATTATTCATTAAATAATGCTAAAAAGTTTGTTAAAAATAAACATTCAAATTATTCGTTTATAAACATTTCTTAACAATTTATTAGAAATATAAAAAAATACTATAAATTAGTAAATGTTACATATGCATAGCACATGCCAAAAAAGGAAAAAAGTTATTAAAAAAAGTTTTTGAATATGTGTTTATTTTTTATTTGACAAGTCAAAGGTTTTCAAAAAAGAAATAAAAAAGAAAAGAAATTTTTTTTAAACTCTAGAAACCATGCACTTCTTAATCAAAAGGGATTAGAGTACTTTTTTTTTAATGGCATGGTTGTTTTTGCCTTTTGATCTAGTTTTCATATATCTAAACAAATATATTTTCTCGTTGAGTTTTAAACAGTTTTTTCTAAAATTAAATTTGAGGTGATAACATAGAAAATAAATAACTTGAGTCGATATTACAAAATTCTATAGAATTATGTCAGCGAATGAATCTTTAAGTATTTTTTGGATTATAGAAATGAAAGATTTAGAATACTTATAGTTGAATTGAAAAGATATATTAATTTCAATATTATATTTACACTAGTAAAATAAAATCAGAATAAAATTTAAATTTTTTAACATCTATTTTTTT